ATTGCCTGATAAGTGATATTTAAGAACAGCTATGGTTAATCATATGGTAAATGGAATAATCCACTTTAAAATGAAGATTTTCAGTTTACATTCCATCAAGTGAAAACTGGCACATCACTGTGGCACTATTGCACGTGGCCCCGGTCTAGTGACAAGATGACCGAGACATGGTCTAGTCCTCAGTAGGTTTATAGTCCTATGGATGACACTGCTGGTGTAAAGTAATACAAAATTATCAGTGAAATACATACGTTTTTTTGAGAAGAGAGAAATGTATTCTAAGATTAAGGAGGGGAGAAACATTCCATAGAAGTACATCCCAGTACTTATAGCAGTACTGGGAAGGAAAAGCAAGCGTGTCTGCTCAGAAGACAGGGAGCACATCCGGTCGTGCTTCAAGAGACTGCTGCAAGGACCCTTCTGGAAAGCTCCCCGCAGTGACTTCACATTGCTCGGGTCCCAGCTGTCCACTGTGCCCTTGCAGATACCTGTTGTTTTAACTCATGGACTCTGAGGAGGATCTTCCTGGGTACTCAGTGCTATTATCATTGCTATCAATTCTTGAGCACTTACCATGCACTCAATGCATTTTCCCATGTAATCAGCACACCATCTCTGTTTAGCAGATGAGAACTTTATATAACTGGTCCAAGCTCAAATATAGAGTAAGAGGCAGTCAGTCTGGAGTCCAGGAGATCTGGCTCCAAAACCTATGTATGCGCTTATTCCCTGTACTATTCCATCTCTTTGAATAATTACAATAATAATAGCAACAATGACAATATTAATAAAAATCATTAGTTGAGAATTTACTAGAGTGTGGGCCCTCTGTGAAGTAGGTATTTTATTCCCATATTAAAGATAAAAAAGAAACAGAAGCTCAGAGATATTAAATAACTTTCTTGAGGCTGCCCCCAAAGTATAGTCTGCAAAATACTGATCTCCGAAGAAGAGATTCGCCAAGGTCATTTAAGTGTGGAAACCATTATACCTCTAGGAGCATTGCAGTGCGTGTCAAGATATTAAAGTCTCCCTTTGAGGCTGCAGCCTGGAGTCCAGTTAACTTCACTTGTATCAGCATTTCCCAAACTGGTTCAACTATGGCACTTGATTCTAGTACCTACCAAAATTGCACAGAACTAGCACTACGCTCTGCAAGGATGAACTGAATTTAATCAGACTCACTGGATATTAGCCAGGCTTACTGGGCTGAAGAATAAAGGTGGAAAACTAGGTTTCCATTTGAGCAGACAGATGAGAACCAGATGCAAAAAATATTTGAGTCTTCCCCTCCAGCTTTATCATTCCCAGTGGATCAAGCTTCTTGGGAAGACAAGATACAACAGTAATAACACATTTTGGGGGGTACATTATCGTGTGGGAGGTAGGAGTAAAAGCAGACAAGTCCTGGGAGGGCTCCAGGACCAGGTCATTCATTCCCCACCCTCAGACTAAACTCACTGCTATCTTCAACCAGAATATGGCAACCACCTCCTAGCTGGCCTTCCAGCCTGTGGCACTGACACCATCCAGCTCTTTTCCTGCTTTTCACTAGAACCTGTTAAGATTCCTTTTTATCAGCCTAATAGTGAAAATGATTCATACTGTTTCAGATCCTTCAACCTCCAGTGCAATTAAAGTCTAAAGCCTTTCACATGGTCTACACGCTTGAAAGAGCAGGCTCCTGCCTATTACCATATTCCACTGTGGCTCCACCTATTACACTTGAGCCAGCCAATCATCTTCCAGTTTCTCAAGAAACCACAAACTCTCTTGCCTCAGTCTCACGTATCCTCTTGTCTGTGTAAAGAATCATTCCCCATTTCCTTTCCAGTTGGAAGTTTACTCCTCATTGATTATTGCACATGCTGTACTTTTTCCACAAAACTTCCTTGAATTCTGGCAGGGGTCTCCTCCCAGTTTCCCCCTATCCAGTAGCTTACAGTCCCTTTATCAGCATACTCATTACACTGTATCATAATCATCTCTTCATTTTTTAATATCTACCACTGTGTGTTTACCTAGCTTGCAGTTATTAGGCAGTTGCCTATTTAATATTTATATTCCTGTCTCAGATGGCAAGATAAAATAGCAAACTATAGAAGTCTTAGAGGAGGAAGTTGGAGAGAATATTAATTGCATTGAATACACATTTAGGGTCTAAAGTTATTTTAAAATCATGGAACAATGAGCCAGTTCAACAAGAAAATTTAAAATGAATACAGGTTAGCTCAGAGGTTCTGCCACCTGCCTCACAAGTGCAAGGTCCCAAGTTCTGTCCCTGATACCAAAAATAAATAAATAAAACTTAAAAAATAAAATGAAAACCAATAAAGCCTTAAAATTGAACTGAAAAGAGGGAAACAGTTGCAAAAGTAAATATGACCAAATAGAAACATGACAAGTGACTTTTAGGGGCCTGAAGTGAATTTAAAACTATGATTGATAGAAATGATTTTAGAATGTATTCTTAAGGGTTTTGCTTCACTAGACATAGTATAAATGCACAGTAAAATATGAGTGTTAAGGACAATAGTGATATCTTGAGCTGAAACAATAGAAATACATCACTTATTTAAAAAGATATAATGGTCTCCTTATATTTTACTGGTGAAACCACAAAGGAGTAATGTACTTAATTCTAGGGAAAAGACTTCAAGAGAGAAATTTACAAATGAAATATACTTCAAAATAGAGTGATGGGTAACAGTTTTGGAAATAATTTCTTAAGTAGCCATTGAAGAAACAGAGAATGTTTTACTGAGAAGATGCCTGAGAGTCACATTTAAATACCTAAAGAGAACCAGATGAAATGGGTAGAAGACTTCTTCTATATTTATGCAAAATTCATGACCAAGATCGATGGTTAGAAAAATTACCAGGAAGCAGATGTTCGTCTTAAGAGGGCTAGAGTTGTTTAAAAATGCACCATGTGTCCCATGAGATAGTGAGTTCCCCATTTGGTCACAGGCTGGCACCCAAGTACTAAGCGTTCATGGAGAGGACTCACTCAGCACACGGCAAGTCTACCAGGTGGCCCCAAAGGTACCTTTGCCACTGAGATTCCATAAGGCTGTGATATGAGGGTGTTTCCTCCTTTGGTGTCGATGCATGGAGAACTAATTAAACCCTTTTATGAGGACTTAGGATTTTAAATATTTAAAAAGAAATTATTAAAAGTTCCTGTGCTAAAAAGGACCAGAGGAGCTGATTATCAAAGCCATTTTCACTTGGGACATTTATGATTTCCAGCTGTTTCTTAGGTTTGTATAACTCTGGGGATTGTGATCTTAATACAGCAAGACAACTTAGGATGAAGGCAACTTGGAAAACAGAGGTCTAGAAAAATTAAACATCTTCAGCCTGCAGCATAAGGGAAAGCAAGTGTCCTTCAGGGGGACATATACTACGATGATCCTGAGATGAGGTACAAATAAAACTGTGCCTTGCACTTTCTGCTGTCTGCAGTGTCTAGGCACAGAGCACCACACCATGAGAGGTAGCACCATCAGAGCTGGGGTCTCATGAGACGTAGTACACCTTTGGCCCACTGTGTGCTGGACCCAAGGTGTTGTGTGTCACTGAGTCTTCATAGATGTTCTGGAGGGTTTATCATCCTTATTTTAACAGTGAGAAAACTCAGTCTAACAGCTGAAGGACCTTACCTAGGTCACTTGGAGACCTGATGTCCAAACTCGGTATTACCTGACTTGTGACTTTATCAAGAGTGTGTCAGCGTTTCCTAGACTTAAGAGGATCTTAAATAGCCTGATGTTTTGTTTTAAGCTGTGAGAAAAAATGGGGTCCAAGAGAAGCACTGTGTCGGCAGTGTTCAGGGCTAACAGTACAGCAGTCAGGGCCAGAGGCAGGAGCAGGGAAGTGGAGCAGGAGACCAGGTTTCGCCATCACACCCATCCAACTTTCTCTCCACAGTGCCCCTGTAGAACTCCAGTCACGCATACAGAAATCAGTCTCCAGATTCTATTGCTGAACTACCATGTGGATAGGTGATATTATCCTCCGGCGAAGTGATCATTTGCAGAAGACAGTGGGGAAAAGAGTGGGATGGAAGTTAAACTCTACTCAGGGCTATATGTATCAGACTCTTGCTAGCTGCTTTTACACATGTCATCTCATGTCATCTTCCTCCTTGTCATCTCCTGCATGGAACCGTCAGAGAGCATGTCAGTCTGTAAAACAAACATTGGAGTCCTCATTTTTTAATGAGGAAGTGAATTTAAGCAAGATATTTAAAATCAAATGACTAGTAAATGCATAACTGAATGTACACTCCTGATTCCAAAAGAAGGAGGAAAAACCTACAAATCATGGTATCAAACAGACCAGAGTTTGACATCCAGATGGGTCATGGAATAGTTAAGGAAAAGCAAGGCTGCTTTCTGACTGTGCAAATCACACTTATCACATAGAAATGTTAGTTTCCCCTCTGCAGACCTGTTCCAGCTCTTTCCTGCCTTAGAGGGACAAGATCTACTTTTACAATTACAGGAGGAATATTTGACCCTTCCTAAAGTAAGAGAAGGATTTTGGACTAATGGCCAACTTTGTCCTCCTTAGAGCAACCCTTTGAGGCTTTGTCACAATGAAAACTGACAGTGACTGTGTCCCATAGGGAGGTACAGGCATGATGGGAAGATACTAACATACAAAACCAGCATGAGACTAAGAATCTGAAGACTTGAACTCTGGCTCTTGCGTCTCTGTGTCTAGATCTATAAGATAGGGATCTGTCTCTCCCAGAGTGAGGGTCCTACAATCTGAAAAGAGATCATGGGATGAAAAGCTTTTTAAAAGGCTCTCTTTCAAAGCAATAATGTCACAAGAGGCCGACTCTCAAATAATTTGTCTCCTCCCTCTCCATATATAGCTCCATTCAACAGACATTGCTCCGATATTCAGGAAAAATAATCTTTTGATTTCTGAGTTTTTGTTTAAACTGAAGTGGCTTTATGGTTTCCTTCAATTTTCTCCATGTGCAGACTACCTTACTGTCACAGATGTTCATCTATTCAAAGAGAAATGGGACTCCAACAAGATCGATCACCACACTGACAAGTACGACAACAACAAGTTGATTGTCCGGAGAGGACAGTCTTTCTATGTCCAGATTGACTTCAATCGTCCCTACGACCCAAGAAAGGACCTCTTCAGGGTGGAATATGTCATTGGTGAGTGCCAGGGGCAAGCCCTTGTCCTGAGACTATGAGTCACTTGTGGAGTGGGGTGGGCACAGGTGTGGTTGCATTATTTCCTAGCAATACTGTGGCTGGATCTGGGATTACATCTAGCTCCTGGATCACTCTGTGTTCTAAGATAGGTCTGCATCATGTCAAGTATCAATAATTTGGGCTTATTCTAGTGAAACAATCTACTGTAATAAAAATAAGCACAATTGGTAAGAAATGTTAGTTTAAGTTAGTTTTCTCCAAGCTGATGTTTTTGATATCCTATAGTTAAGACTTTTAATTTATCACCATGACTTAATTGCTTTTGTATGCTGAAAATAGTTGCAAATCAGAGCATAAATCACCACTTATGCATATGCCAAGTGTGTTCAGCTTTAATGTGGTCCCAGGGTATCATCCATGAAAAATGGATGGCCCAACAAAGTTCAGTACTTTGTGTTTTAGTTTCCTCTTAAAGGTTGACAATTCACATTAGTTTCAAGTGTTCTGGGAAGTGCCATTTAACTGCGTTTGGTCCGATAATTCTCAGATTGATTTGATCATGGATCCCTTTTATTAAGGTATTGATGTTAACATTTGAAACATTTTGGTAACCATTTCACTAGGAATTTTCAAGAGTATCTAGGAAGAAGTACACAGAAAAGCAAGGGTGGCTCAATATAAGGGAAGTTGTGCATAGCATCCTATACATAACTTAAAGGAAATTTTAAAAATTAGGCAATCTTACTGATGATGATCAAAGGGACATGATAAAATTCAGCAGATAGTTTTACAAAAGAGTTTAAGACAAAAGCAAAAGGAAGCTCTTCCGTTATAATAACAAAGATTACTCCCCCCCAAAAAATTAAGTGAAAAATGTTAATAAATTTAATTATAATCAGAAACCAGAGAGGAGAACCTGTAATCAGTACCTTTTTAATGCACTGCTTTAACACTTTGAGAAAATGAACACTATAAGAGAAATAGCTATTGTGAATACTGAAAAAATATGAGATAAAATTGCATATTTTGCTAATATTATTATTGTATTTGTAGAAAACTTACCAGATTCAAGGGGAGAAAGCACAGAATCAATAAAACTTTGCAAGAAAATAAAAACATAAAAATTAACAACTTACAAATACAAAAAAAACATATTATATATAACATTAATTAGCCAAGCTGGAAAAAGCCAGATGAAATATTCAAAAACAAGACACAAACCATATACAAAGCAGTTATTCAATCTTTGTAGAAGACAGGAGAAGCCAATGGAAACATAAACAAGTTCTTAGATGGGAAGTTTCAACATTTTTGAGATGCTCAAGAAGTTGATCAATGAGTACAAAATTTCAGTGAAGTAGGAGAAGATGTTTTGGATACAGCATCTAGTTAATAGCAATGCTAAAACTATTCAAAACTTCTTTTAAATATTCTCACCACAAAGAAATGATAAGCACGTGAAAAAATAGCTTATACTAACAGGCTTCATTTAGCAATGTCACAGTGTGTACACATATCATAAAATCATATTGAGCCTCATAAATATATATATAATCATTATCAATTTAAAATTCTCCCAATATTAATATGTAAATTTAATATAGTTACAATTAGAATCACAATGGAACTTTGAGGGTTTTTTTGGTTTTTAGTTTTAGAATTGGTTAAAAAATAAACAAATGTATTTGAAAGAATAATTACCTGACAATAACCAAAAAACTACACAAAAATAATAAATAAAAGGGGTATTTTATCAATAGCAGCTATTGAGGCACTATAAAAATGTTTAATAAGGTCTTGTATTAGGTGATTTCCCATCACTAGAGTAAAATACCTGACCCCAGCAACTTAAAGGTGATGTTTATCTTGGCTTATGGTTTTAGAGGGCTTAGTCTATGGCTAGTTAGCTCCAAGGCAGAAACCATGTGCAAAAGAGGCTGGAAGGGGAAAGCTGCTTAACCCATGGCAGCCAGAAAAGAGAAAAGGGACAAGAATAAACTCTTCTGTTCAGTGTCCTGTCCCCTCCAATCAAACTCTTCCTCCTAACAGCACGTTTTGTTATGAACTAGTCCATGAATTGACTCACTGATGAGTTTGGTGCAGCCCGCATCAAATTATCTTTTTTAAAAGCCCCACCTGTGAGAGTAGGAGGCTTTTGTAGACATTTTAGATCTGAACCATAAGAGGCACAATAGGAAACCCAGAAATAGATTTCAGAGTAAAGAAGTTAATGTAGTTGTGGATTTCATAGAGCAAGAAAAGTATGTGGAATGTTTTGTTGGCTTGCTTCTTAAAAACAGTAAATGATGCTAGAACAACTGATTCTCTAACTGAACGAAAATTTAAAAATTGATTTCCATCTTCTATCATGTATAATAAAAACTTTTTGACAGAATAAATATTAATGTAAAGCATAAAAATTTTACAAACCAATTTGTGAGAAAATTAAACAGATTTAACTAAAATTTTAAACGCTGAAACTATAAAGAAAACTACATAAATATATCAAAATGCCAGAAAAGGCCATATATATGCCCAAATGACCAAATATGAATATATGACAAAATATATTCCTAAAGAATTCAATGGGCAAAAGTTAGATTTGGAAAATTAATCCAAACCTAGGTCACAGTTAAAGAGTTAACATAGAAAGTAAAGCTCATCTACACACACACAAATTGGTGACAAATATGCAAAGAATGTGAGGACAACAAATAACAAAAGAAAAATGCAAACAGCTTATAAGTATATGAAAACGTGCTGGAGCAGATCAAAGAGAAGCAAATCAAGCTAATATCTATCAGACTGGCAAAAACAGGGGGAGAATCGCACCTTTGGCTGATATGTATGAAGAGAAAAGCATACAATGTGTATGTGTGTGTTTTAGCACAGGACCAGACTTGATTTAAAAGTCCTTGCTAGGTTTACAATGTGGTGGATACCCTGTATTCCATACATATCAGCTGAAACCCATTTGAAAATCTGTCCACAGTTCTGCTCCTACTGTAAGGGATTTTTTTTTTTTTTTTTACCTCCATCATGGAAATCTCAGGGAGAATGATGAATGTCTTAAATTGAGTTTCTAGGTAACGAACTTTGAGAAGAATATTTGTGTGCAGATTTTATTGAGGACTGTTCTTAGGATCCATATCTGGGAAGGAGGGGAAGAGTTAGTGTCTGAGGAGTCAAATACCCAGGAAAGAGGGCCTCAGTGGACTAGTGCGAACTCTGGAGCTGTCTGAATTGCATTTTTAGTTGCCCTTTTTCAAGGCAGTGAGTGAGAACTGATACTCCAACATTCTGAGCATGAGGAGCCACCCGGGCAGCATACGACAGCATCCACTACAGTGACTGCCAGAATTGCTTTTTAACAAAAGAAATAGTACAAATTTTACTCATCAATAAAAAGGAAGACAAAGCACACTACATCTTACTTGTAAGATGAAAGCCTACGTGTTTCTTGAATCAGCATGCATTTTACTAATTCTTAGAGCCACAGTGTGTACTCTCAGAGTAAAGCTGTACCCCAGTCTGAGTGGACCTTACAGCATTATTACATTGCAGAAACTTCTATTTCCAAACTTGTACATACAATGAAAGAAAAATGACAGGATTCCACATTCTGTTATTCAGTATAAGAGAAATCAAGTGCCCATCAGGAGGGAATTAAAGGACCAGGGATTTGTCTCGATAGGGTCCTTCCTGTATCTCATGGGATTCCAGAGGCTACAGGACAATCTCAGCTTCCTCACTGCAGCGATGCTAAGACAGGGTGGGGGGGACATTGGTGAGCACTCTTGGCACTCAGAAATAACTCTCTTAAAGTGCAGTACTAGTCTCAATAGGGCCAGATAAAGCCAAGAAAATTAGATTTTAAATGCAGTTGCTGTAATGTCATCGCTCCTTTCCTTTTGTTCCTTCTTATCCTTCTTCCTTCTCTTCTTCTTTCCCTCCCTTCTTCCTATTCTACTATTTAAGTAAATACAATTATAATGTTTGAGCCATTGCTTTTTTGTTTAAGCAAGATGGTCCCAAATAACCCTTTTGTGCTAAGTTCTCCGAGTAGATAAGACCAACAGGAGAGACAGGGTATCCCCTCTGCCTGGGCTTTAAGAGCTTGTGTTTGATCACTGCATTCATTAGTTCCTGGCAGAGCACAGCTATCTCTGAGCATTAGGCAGGAGGTGTTAATGAACTTGAAGAGGTGGGTGTGGATGGAATATGTGCCCGTAGCCTTTTCTCTCTTTTTACCTCTGAGCTTGCAGCCATGACAAATCATGAAAGCCTCAGAACAGAACAGTAATTACAGGTTTGCTAACCTGTGGCTGGAGTTGTGAAAGCTTATGAATAGCTTGTGGTGTTAATTTGCTGTTACCTTATCAAAGCCCCCCTATTTCTTTGAGACTCAGCTGAGACAGAGCATCTTCCTTGCTTGCTTTCCCTAGACAAGAGAGGTTACTTTCCCTGTTCAGCCCTCCAGAATAATCACAGGGTGTATGAGCAAGTTCTTTTCTCCCTGGTGTTCAATCACAGAAGCCCAGGGGCGTCAAGGACTCCAGAGATTCCCTTGACCTTTTCCTTAGTACCATGATGGCTCCAGTGCTCTGTACTTCATACCTCTGGTCACAACAGGAGGAAGAGAGGAAGGATGGCAACAAAAAGTTCTGTCACTCTCATCAGGGAAAAAAGATTTCCCAGAAGCTTCCAGGAAACATACATGTCTCATTTGCTGTGTTTATCTGTAAAGGAAGCTGTGAAAGTATTTTCTTTAGTTGCCTCAAAGGGTAGGGTCAAGGGAGAGCCAAGAGCAAATGCTGGCATATACCAATGTTGAATGTTAGACATCCCTTCCTTATCTGCCATCCCGTGAGCACATAGGCACAGTCCTTCATGACAGCAACATTGAGGAAACTCATTCATGGGCCCAGTCATCATGTGCCCAAGCACTTCTGGGGCTGGATCATTATGTAAGTTCTATCTTCAGCCCTGTACAACATCAA